GAGTGAGTGTGATGAACTACAGAAAGATGAGTGAATGTGATAATCTACAGAAAGATGAGTTTGTGATAAACTACAGAAAGACGAGTGAAAGTGATAAACTAAACAGAAAGATGAGTGAGTGTGAAACTACAGAAAGATGAGTGTAATAAACTACAGAAAGATGAGTGAGTGTGATAAACTACAGAAAGACGAGTGAATGTGATAATCTACAGAAAGACGAGTGAGTGTGATAAACTAAAGAAAGATGAGTGTGTGATAAACTAAAGAAAGATGAGTGTGTGATAAACTACAGAAAGATGAGTGAGTATAATAAACTACTGAAAGATGAGTGATTGTGATAAACTACAGAAAGATAAGTTAGTGTGATCAACTATCGAAAGACGAGTGTTTGTGATAAACTACAGAAAGATGAGTGTGATCAACTACAGAAAGATGAGTGTGAAAGATGAGTGATGTGAAACTACAGAAAGATTAATGAGTGTAATAAACTATAGAAAGATGAATAAGTTTGATAAACTACAGAAAGATGAGTGTGATAAACTACAGAAAGATGAGTTAGTCTGATGAATTGCAGAAAGATGAGTGAGTGTGATGAACTACAGAAAGATGAGTTAGTATAATAAACTACAGAAAGACGAGTGTTTGTGATAAACTACAGAAAGATGAGTGTGTTATAAACTACAAACTACAGAAAACTGAAAGTGAATGATAAACTACAGAAAGATGAGAGTGTGATAAACTACAGAAAGATGGGTGAGTGTGATAAACTACACAAGGATGAGTGTGATAAACTACAGAAAGATGGGTGAGTGTGATAAACTACACAAGGATGAGTGTGATAAACTACAGAAAGATGAGTTAGTGTGATGAATTGCAGAAAGATGAGTGAGTGTGATAAACTACAGAAAGATGTGTGTGAGGATGAGTGTGTTAACTACAGAAAGATGAGTTAGTGTGATGAATTGCAGAAAGATGAGTGATTGTGATCAACTACAGAAAGATGAGTTTGTGATAAACTACAGAAAGATGAGTGAGTGTGATAAACTACAGAAAGATGAGTGAGTGTGATAAACTACAGAAAGATGAGTGTGATAAACTACAGAAAGATGAGTGTGATAAACTACTGAAAGTTGTGTGAATATGATAAACTACAGAAAGATGAGTGAGTGTGATAAACTACAGAAAGATGAGTAAGTATAATAAACTACAGAAAGATAAGTGAGTGTAATAAACTACAGAAAGATGAGTTTGTGATAAACTACAGAAAGCTGAGTGTGATAACTTACAGAAAGATGAATGAGTGTGATAAACTACAGAAAGATGAGTGAGTGTGATAAACTACACAAGGATGAGTGTGTTAACTACAGAAAGATGAGTTAGTGTGATGAATTGCAGAAAGATGAGTGATTGTGATCAACTACAGAAAGATGAGTTTGTGATAAACTACAGAAAGATGAGTGAGTGTAATAAACTAAAGAAAGATGAGTGAGTGTGATAAACTAAAGAAAGATGAGTGAGAGTGATAAACTAAAGAAAGATGAGTGAGTATAATAAACTACAGAAAGATAAGTGAGTGTAATAAACTACAGAAAGATGAGTTTGTGATAAACTACAGAAAGATGAATAAACTAGAGAAGGATGAGTTTGTGATAAACTACAGAAAGATGAGAGAGTGTGATCAACAAGAGAAAGTTTAATGAGTGTAATAAACTATAGAAAAATGAGTGTGATAAACTATAGAAATATGAGTGAGAGTGATCAACTACAGAAAGATGAGTGTGATAAACTACTGACATTTATGTGACTCTGACAAACTACAGAAAGATGGGTGAGTGTGATAAACTACACAAGGATGAGTGTGTTAACTACAGAAAGATGAGTTAGTGTGATGAATTGCAGAAAGATGAGTGAGTGTGATAAACTACAGAAAGATGAATGATTGTGGTAAACTAGAGAAAGATGAGTGAGTGAGATAAACTACAGAAAGACGAGTGAGTGTGATAATCTACAGAAAGACGAGTGAGTGTGATAAACTACAGAACGATGAGTGAGTGTGATAAACTACAGAAAGATGAGTGAGATTGATAAACTACAGAAAGATGAGTGATTGTGGTAAACTACAGAAAGATGAATGAGTGTAATAAACTACAGAAAGATGAGTGTAATAACTTACAGAAAGATGAATGAGTGTGATAAACTACAGAAAGATTAATGAGTGTAATAAACTATAGAAAGATGAATAAGTTTGATAAACTACAGAAAGATGAGTGTGAGTGAAAGATGAGTTTGAAAACTACAGAAAGATGAGTGAGTGTGATAAACTACAGAAAGATGAGTGTGTGATAAACTATAAACTAAACTACAGAAAGTGTGTGATAACTACAGAAAGATGAGTGAGTGTGATAAACTACAGAAAAATGAGTGAGTGTGAAAAACTACAGAAAGATGAGTGTGATAAACTACAGAAAGATGAGTTAGTGTGATGAATTGCAGAAAGATGGGTGAGTGTGATAAACTACACAAGGATGAGTGTGATAAACTACAGAAAGATGAGTTAGTGTGATGAATTGCAGAAAGATGAGTGAGTGTGATGAACTATCGAAAGACGAGTCTTTGTGATAAACTAGAGAAGGATGAGTTTGTGATAAACTACAGAAAGATTAATGAGTGTAATAAACTATAGAAAGATGAATAAGTTTGATAAACTACAGAAAGATGAGTGTAATAAACTAGAGAAAGATGAGTGTGATAAACTTCAGAAAGATGAGTGAGTATGATAAATCAGAGAAAGATGAGTGAGTGTGATAAACTACAGAAAGATGAGTGAATGTGATCAACTACAGAAAGATGAGTGAGTGTGATAAACTACAGAAAGATGAATGAGTGTGATCAACTACTGAAAGTTTTGTGAATATGATAAACTACAGAAAGATGAGTAAGTGTGATGAATTGCAGAAAGATGAGTGAGATTGATAAACTACAGAAAGATGAGTGAGTGTAATAAACTACAGAAAGATGAGTGAGTGTGATAAACTACAGAAAGATGAATGAATGAGTGTGATAAACATCAACCAAGGTTTAGGGTTACTACGGCGCATTACCAGTTTTTTACCAATAGAAGGCCGCTTGAAATTTTACAATGTTTGTGGGTTTTTTCCTAATTTCATTTACTGTTACACAGTCTGATCTGGAAGTACAGAAGCTTCTCTAAGCAAACTGTCAAAAGCTCAAAAGTGTGCCGCCATATTTTAGACAGATCATATGATGCTCCTTCAGCAGAAATGTTTAAAATTTTGAAATGGATGCCAATTCAAAAATACCTCCAGCTAAAAAAGTCAATAATGACATATAAATATAAACATGGTATGGTACCACAATATCTTTGGAGTGATTTATTTTGGCGGGAAATGTTTATCAGCGGTCTACAAGGCAGGTATCAAGAAAAAAATGTATTGGTTCCAAAACACGTGACAACTTACTACTCGAAACATTCTTATGTGTTTGGTTGTCAGGAATGGAACAAACTTCAAAATGAAATAAAAACTTAAACATCTTTTTCTATGTTCAAACAAAAACTAGAGTGCCATTATTTGAAATCTTTACGAACTGATTTTTATATTTTCTTTCCATTACCAGTAAGGTTTTACTCTGTGCTATATTTTAACGTATAACTATGTCAATTTTTACACTTTACTGTATAATAGACAAATTGACCTTTAACGATAAAAACAATTTGCACGAACTTTTGTGCATTCTGTCAGATATTCCTAATTATACACATGTGATGAATGTATGAAAATCTTATAACTATGTTTTTCTAACAAGAGGACCATGTGGAAGATTAGCCTCGGTTAAACAGATTCTTAATTATTTGGCAATATTAAGAGAGAGAGAGAGAGAGAGAGAGAGAGAGGGGGGGGGGGCAAGCGGAGAGACAGACAGAGATCGATTGATCAGAATATATTTGAGTCTATAATACACTGCTGTCTGGATTGACATATATATGTTATCTACTCCATATAAACCATTACTACCAATTAAAGCAGCTACAGGTTAACGGAACAGTGTTTCCCTGTGATCGGCATAATTAATACAAACAAAGACGGAGTGTGTCGTCAACAATCCAACATCGACATTAATTTATATAGCTCTGATGATGATGATGATGATGATGATGATGACAGGAAAGAGTGAAATATATGTATTATATCAACTAAAAAAAAATCGAAAAATAAATATATCGCTCTGCATAGGTCATTGTTTAAAATCCTAACTTTGTTTCTCGGTCTGGCACGCAAGAGATTCCTTTCTCCAAACAAATGATAATGAGGAACTATTGTACAGCTGATTTTTAAAATATTAAGTAAGATATACTATGTCCAAATCCAATGCCTCGGTTGGCTCCAGAGTCGGGTGATGGAAGGAAAGATCTAGGAGATAGTTGTGGACAGCGGTTCGAACCCGCTTTCAGAATATAAGGATATTCATCTGCTATGTCAGGATGGCAATCCAGTGACGATTAGAACGGACTCTTAACTAACATATTCACAACTTTTGCCAAATCCCCTGATCGCGTTTGAAAACGCAATATATGTGTTTTAATCAAGCAAAATCCAAAGTCAAATGTAGTACATTGGAAAATACATTTATTGTGACTATATTCCCTGTGAAGTTATACAGAAATAAATAATTGGCGCAGATCAATATAATCAAATATATGTAAATATGTGCAAATAAATATCGACATAAATCAGGCACGTGTTGATGTGCGTCTCCCCGGCAAGTATAATTTTTAATACCTCACTAAATTGTATGAAATTTACACAGTCAATTTGTATTGTAACTTTCATGAAATTAAATATTTTTAGATGAATCATATTTGTAAACTAAAGACACAATAATCATATCTTTATATCATAAACAATGATTCCTCCCTGCGTTCATCCGGGTATCCGCTATCCTCTCAGTAATATAACATACATACGGGGTTTTCTGACGTCATATCATACCGCGTGGGGAGGTAGCCATTATTCTCGAATTTAGGTACTATCCGGTGCATTGAAATTCACTTAACATTGACAATTTACTCCTGATGCTGTAAAATAATTGTTGTTGCTCGTATGCATAATGTTTCAATTTTATTCTTTGCAGATTGAGCATTCGTGACACGATGGAATATCCTGAAAATGTGGCTTTGCGGCGACCGTTCGACCCTGCGGCACATGAACTGGATCCTAGTTTCCGACTTACAAAATTTGCTGACCTAAAGGGATGAGGGTGTAAAGTCCCTCAAGAAGCCCTAGAGCGGCTCCTTGAGGGACTACAACAGGACAGCAATGCCCAGGTTGCGGATCAGTCGCAATTTCAATATCTTGCGGCCACCCCACGGATAGGTATATATATTTTTTGATAAATAAAATGATTATTCGGAAACGACACAGACAACAGGTTGTTTCGTTTCCGACCAATGTAAACAAGCTGTATTTTCATAAGTATGCGATGGATGGCGTTGATATTACATGACGTATTAAGAATAAATCATGTGTTGATATATTAATCAACTGTAGGTGAAATCATGACATCTGAATAGTGGATTCTTGGACAAAATTTACTTGCCCTATCGTGTCCCTATTATTCAAAATGGCGTCTGTTGTTGGTTTGGCCGAGTATAAACTATGACACGTGACTCCGGAAACTGATGATAAACCCGGCTGAAAAAGCGCGGGAATGGACGGAAAGAACTTAATTAAAACGCTTTAATAAATAATAATGTGACTCAATGACTCGATACATTATTTATTTATTTTTAATTTCCATTAGGTGGTGTAAGAAACATTGTAACGAACACTAGGACCTCCCGTTGACTAAAAGTTATGTGCATACTAATATAGGCACCACAAACTAGGTGACTAGCCATAAAAACATTGAAAAGTGTTTTCCTGTCAAACATTGAAAATGCAGTTACAATTTTCAATTGTCAATTAATTGAAAAAAAGTGTGTGAGGGCACTTGAAATTTGATAATGAAAAGGTAAAGGGATTAAATGGTTAAATATTTTGTAATGATGAAAAACACTATAACAGTTAAATACCTGTTAAAATTGTGTACTTTCTGTTAATTATGTTTAAGTTTATATTACCATTCTATTAATATTGTCAAAAAATGAAAATGGGAGTGACCCAACACTAATTCATATCATTATTGTTTGGAGAGTGTACACAATGTTTCTGCACATGTAAATTTAGATTCAAACTAATTTGTTTCGCTCTGTTACGCATATAGCATGAATCAAGAGGTCATTTGACAAAGTATAAATTGAAACATGAGTGGCGAATTAGATTTCCGCTGATTATATAGTTGTACATATAATATATTAAGAAGTAATATCAAATCAGTGGGTTAAAACGAGGCTCCCAAAGGTTACATGGTTAACTCGCCTATTTCTGATCAATATAGCGATGGGTGGTAGACACAATAGAGAATGTCGAATAGCGTTAGTTTGAAACTAATCATTTTCATGAATTTTTCTTGGAGAATGCTATAATTTTTTGAAGAATCTAATTTTAAGTATTGCAATGCTTGCCTGAAATCAACTAAAAAAAAATAACAAAATCTAACCATTTAGTCATTTTGTTTATGTTTGAATAAACTGTAGAAAGTCCAACTTAAGTCATGCTTAGATCTTCCTCTGCTGACTTGCCAGCACACTTGTGTTAATATGTCTGGAATGATCATTTTTCAAGTTCGACTAGCTCAGAAATGTAAGGTTCAGGTTTGAAGTTCTAAAACTGTTTTTCTTCAGCCCCAATGTTTTAAATTTTTGTTTAAAGGAGGAGTAGTAACAACGGTATTGATTGAATTATTTCAAATTTTCAAGTGGATCAGTCACTTTATGAAGACAGCACATAAACTTGTAAAAACATAGTTAACATTGAATGATGTTTACATAATAAATAAAAACAAGAATGGACACACAACATTAGAGATAAACAGTAAACCTATTGGTATCATATAAACGTTTATTGAAATTACTGTATCATAACATCATGCATGTATACATATGTTTTTACATAGGTAGTCTACCTATACTACTAGATCTAGTTCCAATTATGATTGGTTTGAAATCTGATTTCCTGAACCAACTTCAGGAAACTTTGAATGACAAATTAATAGTCTCCCCTCCAAATGTTTGCCTTAAATTTCTTTGCTCTATCTTTAAAACTTGAAATAATATAAATTCCAGGCAATAGTTTTCTTCAATCAAATTTATTGATATTATATCTTATGTTGCATATTAAATTTGTTGCAGGCATTGGGATGGATGCCTCTGTCACACCACTGCGACATGGAGGACTCTCTCTTGTCCAGACAACAGACTTCTTTTATCCTCTAGTTGATGACCCTTATATGCAGGTAATTGTGTGTCACTTACACCAGCAATAAATGAAAATGATTTTCTTTAACTAGGTAAATTTTTTACTCAAGTATAATTTTTATGCCCAATTTCAAAACTTGAAATACAATGTAGACTTGTAACCGTACACATATTGGCCAGTTCTGCTGGAGTGTGTTTATATAGTTGCTTAAAACAGTAACTCCAAATCCAGACTTGATGTGACCTTGAGTTTTAAATAGAAAATTATACATTTACCAGTAAAACTCTGAACAGTTGTCCAAAAGATATAAAGTCAAAATCCCAACATTGATATTAATTTGTTTGGAGTAAATCTCTGACAAAGAGGTTCTGTCAGGTAAACATTATTATAAATGCTGGATTTTAGTTTTCTGCATAAGAAACTCCAATATGGATGATCCAGTCATTTCTATGGTAATCATGATTTTACATTAATTTATACAGCAGGTCTTCCATGTAGCTATTGCTAAGGTATTATTGGCTTATCACTGTAATTTGTTGCTTGTAAAAACTATTATAAAGCAAAGATTTTCATTTTGATAAATAAATGAAATCATGCAAGAATTTTCTTGGCAAAAATCCTACTTTTGCAAGCAAAAAAAAAAAAAAATTGAAATTATTAATATAATTGCAATATTAGATAATATGGTATATTGTATGTTGATAGAAAGATAAATATTGTTTTACAGGGTAAGATTGCCTGTGCCAATGTACTCAGCGACTTGTATGCAATGGGAGTGACAGACTGTGACAACATGCTGATGTTACTAGCAGTCAGCAATAAAATGACAGAGAAAGAACGTGATGTTGTCATTCCAATGATGATGAGAGGATTCAAGGTTTGTTGAAGAAAATGACAGTTCAAATGAAGTGATAGACTAAACGTTTATTGTCAGTGGAAATAAACCTGAAATCACTCTCTTGATATATCCTCACAAACAATATATCTACAATTGAAACCAGATGTATCTCCCAAACAGAAGGATTCTTTGATAACAAAACAGGGAGATTATCAATTATTCACAATACTGTTCTGCAACGTCACTGGGAAATTTCAAAATGGTCATCTTCTTGTTCCTTATAAGATTTGTTACAGACTGTTCTTAAGCCATTACAAGAAAAGGGAATTAACAGGTTTTACTTTGAATGTTAGGATTTAGCGGAGGAAGCTGGAAGTGGAGTGACTGGAGGACAAACAGTGCTGAACCCCTGGTGCATCATTGGTGGGGTAGCAACCTCCGTCTGTCAACCCAACGAGTTCATCACGTCTGTATAGATAATGAAATTAATTTAAGTGTGTAATTAACACAATTTGACAACAAGTCACAAACAAAACCAAATAAAATTCGATTAGTCACAAAATTTTGCAATTTGGATATAAAAGAACATATAATACTCAGGTCACATTATCTTGCATATTAAATGTTTGTGATCATGATAATATACTACAAAATAGTAAAAATATTGTCCCCACAAAAACAAACCGTACGGTATCAGTTTAAAAGTATTTCCTCAAAACTGTTTATATTGATGATTCCTCTGAATAGGTCTGTCAAGGGGTCTTTCAGTCAAAAACAAATAACAGCTTGAATAACTTATTTGTTGTGAGTCTTGCATTTCAAATTCGTGTTTTTCTTCATCATTTTGTGTGAGATAAATTGTGGGGCACTTGACAAAAGATTAGATTTACTGTTGACTTTGTATGACAGACCAGACAATGCTTTAGTGGGCGACGTCTTGGTGCTGACTAAACCACTAGGAACACAAGTGGCAGTGAATGCTTACCAGTGGCTGGACCAGCCAGAGAGATGGAATCGTGTCAAACTGGTGGTGACAGAAGATGATGTGAGGAAGGCTTATCAACGGGCTATGTTTAGTATGGCAAGGCTTAACCGTACAGGTAAATACAAATCAGGTAGACTTAACTATTAAGTTGTATCTGTTTATTATGATCAAAAATCGGTATAACATATGATTGTATTTGTATCAACCCCATACCTGGCAATAATCTAACCTATAGCATGGCCCATGGATTTAATTTAATTACAGTAATGACCCAAAAGGTCTTTGAATTTTAATTGGTAAGGCTATTTCAAGAGTAATGATGTCATGAGAGACTTACAAAAGAATGTTTGAAATTTTAAACATTGAAAAATCAGCACAAGGTGTAGGAAATATTCAGTTTTCACCACAGGAATGGCAAAAGTACCTGCTCCTCTCTCTAACAAAAGTAAATACTTCTACACATAGGGTGAAGATTTCGAGGGGTGAAATCCCACAAGTTTTATACACATAGGGTGAAGATTTCGAGGGGTGAAATCCCACAAGTTTTCTGATAATGAAGTCCATTCCATGAACAAATAAATTCTGTGTGGAATGATCTTGTTTTATAGGTTACAATAACTCGGACCTTTGTTTTATTTCGTTGATGTTTCTTATTTCTTAGCTGCACGACTGATGGCTAAATACAATGCCCATGGTGCTACAGACGTGACAGGATTTGGTCTCCTCGGTCACGCAAAGAACCTTGCCAAAGTACAGAAGAATGAAGTCAGCTTTGTCATTCATAATTTACCCATCATTGCTAAAATGGCTGCCATAAGTAAAGCTTGTGGAAATATGTTCGGCCTGCTACAAGGTCTCTCAGCAGAAACGTCTGGTATGTCTTTCAATCTTCAGCTAAATTTACAACAATTTAATGAACCAGTATTATTCTGTCTTATTTTTGACACATTAGTTTGTCTAGATGGTGATCGACAGAGGCGTCCTAATGTGGGGATACTTTTCCAAGTTTCATTTTTCACTATTAGATTTTGTTTTAGCCTTGTGAAATAATACAATTACTAAAACATTGTAAATTTATATTTGAAATCTTTAGATGTATTAATCAAATGAAGTAATAGTAACCACTGACTGGGACTTACTTTGCTGTGTATTATTACAGGTGGGCTGTTGATGGCCTTACCCAGAGAGCAGGCTGCAGCATTCTGTAAGGACATCGAGAAACAGGAGGGCTACCAGTCCTGGATTATAGGAATTGTAGAAAAAGGAAATCGCACAGCTAGGATAATTGACAAACCACGAGTGATTGAAGTACCAGCTAAAGATCGTGACGGAGAATTGTGGTAGTGAAAAAGGGGAGAAAAATGACGTTATAATTTCGATCCTTCTCTAAAACTCACAGGAAGGAAAGCTAAGCAATTTTGTCTACTGAAGGACATTCCAAGTTGTTACATTTTCTGACTTTGTTTTTGCCTCATCTACAAGGTTTTTAATGAAAAGTTGTTGATAAACCCTTTCAATTGAAACTGGATTTTAGATCATGTTTGTAAACAAAGCTCCACAGTTTTAATTAGGAACGTGATTAAACTCCTTTTGGTTAATATAAGAATGAAATTTAGTTAGCATTTATCAGCACAGTGCTGTTTGAAATTTAGCTAGATTTGATCAATGGGATGCATTGTTGTTCTTGTCTTCTGCTATATGTATTATCATTGCTTCTGGGAATACTGTTAATTTGAAACCTGCAAGTTTACATGTATGAAGTTGCCCTGAAGAACCACATTACTATGGGTCGGGGCAGCAGATGAATTGGTAAACTCACAGGTGCCAAATTACCATGACCCATGGAGCCGTTGTCATGACGTTTTCAAACGATATTGAGGATGACTGCGGCTTCAGACCAAACTCATTGTATAGTTTTCATCTTTTTTTGTTCAAAGCAAAATTCATTCATCATGTCATCAAACCCATAAAGAATAAAAAAAAACTTCAAGTATTATACATTGTCTTGTTCATTTCTTTGTTAATCTGAAGGACAAGTATTGTACATTGTCTGGTTCATGTCTTTGTTAATCTGAAGGACAAGTATTGTACGTTGTCTGGTTCATGTCTGTTAATCTGAAGGACAAATATTGTACATTGTCTTGTTCATTTCTTTGTTAATCTGAAGGACAAGTATTGTACATTGTCTTGTTCATTTCTTTGTTAATCTGAAGGACAAGTATTATACATTGTCTGGTTCATGTCTTTGTTAATCTGAAGGACAAGTATTATATATTGTCTTGTTCATGTCTCTGTTAATCTGAAGGACAAATATTATACATTGTCTTGTTCATGTCTTTGTTAATCTGAAGGACAAGTATTATACATTGTCTTGTTCATTTCTCTGTTAATCTGATGGACAAGTATTATACATTGTCTGGTTCATTTCTTTGTTAATCTAAAGGACAAGTATTATACATTGTCTTGTTCATTTCTTTGTTAATCTGAAGGACAAGTATTATTGATGGTCTTGTTCATTTCTTTGTTAATCTGAAGGATCTGGTTAAATTAAGTTTGTACTAGTCCTGTAGATGATCTAAGAAACAGAACTAGTTTTAGAAATAACCAACAGAAAGAATATGCCAAAACTTAATCTACATAGGACTATGTAAGAAAGTTAGATTGTAGTCGCAGATTTATAAGCAAACAGTAATTGGCTGTTAAAATTGCCTTTTGTCTATGTGGTCGCTCAAATCTTATATATAGATTCCCATTTGTCCCTAGTTGTACCTTTTATTTGGGATTGATCAGGAAAACTGGCCGGCTGGTGACCGTCTCAGACTTTTGACACGTCTGTCTTTTTATGGATTAGTCAAAGTAGGGTCATTCTGAAATTTCCTAAATGGTTTGAATTTGCCCAGTGGTTGTGTATTGTTCATTTTGGTGTTGACCGGAAAGCAAGATGAATAAGAGGTAGCCATCATGGATTTTGACAAATAAATTTTATTATTTCTGAAAAGTACAGGATGGACCATACATGCTAATTTTATATGTAGGTTTCCATTAGTTCTGTGTGCATTGTTTATTTTGGGGTCGATCGGGGTAAAAACATCACCACAATTGAGTGACCATTCTCGGCAGTTAGAGTTTATTGTTTCTTGGTAAAGCTGGGTGTATAATGCTCAGAATTTGTAGGCTTTCCTTGGTTCCACATTATTAAATAGTTTGTGCTGGTGTCTGCAACACTTGGTGTACTCGATGTTCACAATCACACTATAACAATACCCCAATTTTTATTTTTTTCAGACCACCAAGTTCTATAACTGGTTAGAATTTGGAGGTCGTCGGTCAGGGTTAAAATTCAAAGGTCATCCTTCAAAACGCTAGATTTAAAAAAATCTTGTGTATATGATGTTCACATTCACACTATAGCAACACACCAATTCTACATCCGAATTCATATATACATGGCCTACTACGGAATGGATATTTGAAGTCATCAGACAAATGTCACTAATGGAACGCTATACTAGAACCCTCAACTGATTTAGTTCATAAAGACACATAGCATCACACAATCAAGTTGTGGAGACAGCAGCACAGTGCCATAGTAACGCGGGACGAGCCTCAGTTTTACATCACTCGTTGACTGAATAATATCTCTCCATTAGCAGTATAAAAGGTAAGAGAAGGCAAACTCCTCTGATGACACACTATAGCTGGCCATCAAACCAGAAACTTGGTACAATCCTGGGCTCCCCACGTAGCCTGCCTGAGAGGTTGACAATCTTTACAGCTGCTGACCTTGACCCCGATGATAGTGCTGGTCTGTCCTGACACCACTCGATGAAGGTCTGTAAGTCACCTTGTTGCTGGCTCTGGGTGGTGCTCGTGTCAGCTGCCCATCATGTGAAGCTATAGGAGTAAATATAAATCAACACAATTATAACAAAACACTAAACACTTCCATAATGTAGTTTAATTAATACGCTCTAAAACGCTGTATAATTTACCGCCATTTAATTATTCAATTCGCTAACTGCGCATATCACCCGATAAAAACATAAAATTCTATGATGCGTAACCAAATTCGATATAAAATAACACTTAGCACCGTAAATGTATATGCTGTCTATAGGTTTCCGTACATTTTGCACCTGCGCGCACTCACCAAATACAGGTAAATACGACTGCAGCTCAGGGCTTCCATACATATTTTGCATGAACAAAACTACGTTACTAAGTGAAATAAACAGATTTAAACTAATTGAATTACATATAATTATCAATAATTTAGTTAAGTAACACTTCTACAATAAACATCGGTTTCTCTTTACTATCAGTAATGATATTTCTACTGATACACCTTTTTACGATAATAACAATAGAGTGCTTGACCAGTAATAGGGTAAAGCTAAATATTGCATGAAAACATTCAACTGAAATAACTAATTACGAATGATAGAAAGAATACTTACCCCAGTCAGTGTACTGGGTTCCGTTCTTTATCATAATACGGCCAAATACCTGACCTGAACACGGGTAAACCATTACTACAAACAATGGCCGTACTCACTCACCTTCCCTGTCACACACCACCCGTACTCACTCACCTTCCCGGTCACACACAACCCGTACTCACTCACCTTCCCGGTCACACACCATCCGTACTCACTCACCTTCCCGTTCACACACCACCCGTACTCACTCACCTTCCCGGTCACACACCACCCGTACTCACTCACGCGTTCACACATACGCGCACGTGATCCATTCCCTAACAAAAATATGTTACGACACACTTGCGTTCGTGACAGGTATAAAGTCTGATACCGTGATAAAATTGGAATTTTCTTTCAAAAATTTTCCGTGTTAACAGTATTAATATCGCATAACTTAGAAACAGGAAAGAAAGCTAATGGGGAGGTAACTGGTGACACGAAGATGAGAACTGCGGAAAATAACTACGTTTTTTTAGCAAATCTGTAGTGGATTCCTTACTTTCCAGTCAAACTTGTGGGCTTCATGGCGTTATTTTATCATGACGCGTTCAAGGATATAGTTTCTCGCTTTTCTTTATAATAGCAAATATCAAGAAAAAATAAATGACTTCTAGAAGGTCTTAGTAGTAATCATTTAATGTCATTAATAATAAATTAAATAAGAAAATGACATTATTATTAATCAACAATAATTTATTCGTGATTTATACAATAACAATACTTTTTTAATTTGTGTTTTTCTATACATTTCGATTGGTCCCCGTATAAATTAATTCTACTGACGTCACTAAGCATCTGGTACTCGTCTCGTCGCTCATCGTACCGGACAGTAGCCTCAAACAGACCGTTGCCCGGACGAGCACGCACTGTCAACTGGAAATCTACGAATGCTTTCGCGCGTTCGCCATATTTGACGTATCGATTGATGACGTCATTTTTGCTCTGCTCAAAACGCAACACTTTGTCAGACGGAATAAGTTTGGTAGCATTGAGCACTTTGTCAAGGTTAAGGCGGGCACAAATATCCGAGAAGCCGTCCAGTTGTTTGTTGATGGAGTGTACAATGTTGACTGCGATGTTCTGAACCTGGGACAGAGATGTTGACAGTGTCTGGTGTATCGGGCAAGTGCACCAGTGGGGAAGAATTCCCGCCGTTTGGCACGAGCGGAAGAATGGTACCTCGTCGAAGAGGCTAACTCCTCTCTGTTCCGTGGGAACTGTTCTGGTTTTCCCTGTAAAATACAGAATATCTCGCAATGTCTCGTAGATGTCAAAAGGTGTTGTAAGGCGATTTGAATTTGTTCTCAGATTTTTGGCTATGATCGGATATTTTTCTAAAAACCATTTTGGAAGTATCACATACATAAATGGCAATCTTTCTTCCAATTTGCCGACATAAGTTTCTCTAATTTTCCCAAATCGAATTCCGTGGTCACTATAGAATATCACAGCTGTTTTGTTTAGCGCCCCTTCGTCGTGTAACTTTGTGAGCAACGTCAGGTAAGGAATGTCCGCGACTGCAGTGTGCTCTAGCACGTTATGTGTTAACCCTGTGATAAAAGCAAACGCGAAATTTGGACGATTTTTATACATTAACATAAAATCTTTTAAATAATCAAGTATAATTTGTGTCTCCAGCTTTGTCCCTATACATTTGCCTTCGTTGTACCACAGTCGTTTCTGTTTTGTCATTGCGAGACTAAAATGGCGGTTAAAATAATCACCAGGTTGTTGGTAAAATCCTTCCTTTAGATAATCGAATATGGCAATCGCGGGCTGATCTTCGGCGTACAGAGTACGGAAGCCACGGTTTGAAAACTGCTTCCATATAAAGTCATATTTGTCGAACGGGATGGTATTTAATGTCTCGTTCCAAGGGACCTCTTCCAAGAATTTCCCCAGCGTCATGGGAACGATGTTTACAAAAGTGTTGTCGGCCACCTTGTTGTAGCCTTTCATCTCTATGGCGCCTAGCGTGTTCTCCAGATACGCTTTAGTCCGTCGCATGTAACGAAGGAAATTCAGCCTAGAAACGGAATCCACACCAATCATGGCCACGTTTAGCGATTCCTTCACGCCTGTTTCCTGTAGGTGTTTCAAGAACGTTTTCTTGCACTTCCGATCAAGCTTTGGTTTGCGTCGGACGAACTGGTGGAAATTCGTATACATCAAACCGCCAGCTTTGTTATAACACTTCACCCTTACGAAGTCGTAATGCATTATTTGGGAGGTATTAAACGCGACACTCTCCTCGAGATACCTATAATAGTTATTTTCCTCTATGAATGGGGGACGATTGATTGGCTGATATTTGCAATGATCAAAATAGTCCCTGTCTTTGGAATTAATTATGGCAGTCCAATTTATTTCTAATCGCGATCCATTTTCATAAGTTAACGGTAAGTAACGGTCACACTCTATTAATGCCCCTTGACGGAGATATTTAACAACAGATGAATCAAAAGGATCGAGATTTGGTAGTTTACAGTTGGGCGTGTCCACTAGAAACTTCGGAAGGTCGTAACTATTACTTTGACCTCCTGCACGTGGTGTCTTGGCAATGACGGAGAAGTTCATTTGTCCTGAATACCTATGTATCTGATAAAACACGAAAAGAAGCAAGGATGTTCCGAGGAAAATCATGAACTTTGCCATCCGGACCACCATGGGTCCCCTCATGGTCATCAATCGTCTGAAACAAACAAAAAAAAACTACTGAAAACACTCAGAAAACAGTATAACGGAACTCCTCTAGACTCAAACTCTGACGTGGTAGACTATATTAGCACTGTAAGTAACAAATGGTGTGATGGTGAAAACAAAATCTGAGGAAAGAACATTCGAGAAAAGAAATATTTCTAGATACCAATATAAATAAACGACTCGTGCCCTCTTGATTAAGTAATAGTCAACATTGGCCACTCATTACGTAGTTCATTCAGCAAGCTTGCGCCAGTAGAGCACCCGGCGCCATTCTCTGTACACTGGCTTTTATAGAACAATCTCTGTAAACTAGGTTATTAAGACCACTGGGCGCCAATCTCTGTAAACTATGTTATTAAGACCACTGGGCGCCAATCTCTGTAAACTAAGTTATTAAGATCACTGGGTGCCAATCTCTGTACACTTACTTATATAGATCACTGGGCGCCAATTTCTGTACATTTGCTTGTATAGAACACTGGGTGCCAATCTCTGTACATTTGCTTGTATAGATCACTGGGCGCCAATTTCTGTACATTTGCTTGTATAGAACACTGGGCGCCAATTTCTGTACATTTGCTTACAAAGAAAACTTGAGCGCCAATCTTTAGAGCACTCTTTCACTTATAAAGAGCACTTGACGCAAATTTCTTAACACAGCTATATAGAACATTCAGTGCTGTTTTTTATACAAGTACACTGATCTAGAGCACTCTGAGCTAATCTCTACACTAAAATATACAGAACAATCGGTGCCGTGCACTAAGCTTATAAAATGGCGCTAATCTCTGTATACTTCCTACATTTCACCTAAATGTGTTGACGGATACGGGAAACAAGACGTGAATGAACAAACAAAACTTACACAAGTCTCCAGCCGAAATGATTCAGCATCGTCATTTTAACCCCTGCTGCTCCGACCACAAACGTTTCGCTGAAATTCGGATAAAATCGAGAATAAGCATTCAGATTTACATACATGTGTTGATATATCTGTACAGAGCACGTGTAAGGTATTGACTAGCACTACGTCATCTCCTAATTTTTCATGTAGGCTTAAAATCCGGAATCCAGATATGCCAATATTTAAAGATTAATCAGAATACCTGCAATCATTGCTACGGGTTACGTCATACCCAAAGTTTAAGAGCTCAATTTCTTCACAAGCATTCCTTACAGGTTACTATGTAACTAATTGAACAGGGACTTGCCACGAATTCCCGATCCAAGGTTCACAAACATTGTATATATATTACAGTGAAACTGAAATACATATATATGGACCGTGGGTCGTGTATTATAGTGACACTAAAATACATATATATGGACCGTGGGTCGAGTACATGTATTATAGTGACACTAAAATACATATATATGGACCGTGGGTCGTGTATTATAGTGACGCTAAAATACATATATATGGTCCATGGGTCGTGTACATGTATTACAGTGACACTAAAATACATATATATGGACAGTGGGTCGTGTATTATAGTGACACTAAAATACATATATATGGACCGTGGGTCGTGTACATGTATTATAGTGACATTAAAATACATATATATGGACCGTGGGTCGTGTATTATAGTGACGCTAAAATGCATATATATGGACCGTGGGTCGTGTATTATAATGACACTAAAATACATATATATGGTCCATGGGTCGTGTACATGTATTATAGTGACACTAAAATACATATATATGGACCGTGGGTCGTGTATTATAGTGACACTAAAATACATATATATGGACCGTGGGTCGTGTATTATAGTGACACTAAAATACATATATATGGTCCATGGGTGTACATGTATTATAGTGACACTAAAATACATATATATGGACCGTGGGTCGTGTATTATAGTGACACTAAAATACATATATATGGACCGTGGGTCGTGTATTATAGTGACACTAAAATACATATATATGGTCCATGGGTCGTGTACATGTATTATAGTGACACTAAAATACATATATATGGACCGTGGGTCGTGTATTATAGTGACACTAAAATACATATATATGGACCGTGGGTCGTGTATTACAGTGACACTAAAATACATATATATGGTCCATGGGTCGTGTACATGTATCATAGTGACACTAAAATACATATATATGGACCGTGGGTCGTGTATTATAGTGACACTAAAATACATATATATGGACCGTGGGTCGTGTATTATAGTGACACTAAAATACATATATATGGACCGTGGGTCGTGTATTACAGTGACACTAAAATACATATATATGGTCCATGGGTCGTGTACATGTATCATAGTGACACTAAAATACATATATATGGACCGTGGGTCGTGTATTATAGTGACACTAAAATACATATATATGGTCCATGGGTCGTGTAAGTGACACTAAAATACATATATATGACACTAAAATACATATATATGGACCGTGGGTCGTGTATTATAGTGACACTAAAATACATATATATGGACCGTGGGTGGGTCGTGTATTATAGTGACACTAAAATACATATATATGGACCGTGGGTCGTGTATTATAGTGACACTAAAATACATATATATGGACCGTGGGTCGTGTACATGTATTATAGTGACACTAAAATACATATATATGGACCGTGGGTCGTGTATTATAGTGACACTAAAATACATATATATGGACCGTGGGTCGTGTATTATAGTGACACTAAAATACATATATATGGACCGTGGGTCGGGTATGGACCGTGGGTCGTGTATTATAGTGACACTAAAATACATATATATGGACCGTGGGTCGTGTATTATAGTGACACTAAAATACATATATATATGGACCGTGGGTCGTGTATTATAGTGACACTAAAATACATATATATGGACCGTGGGTCGTGTATTATAGTGACACTAAAATACATATATATGGACCGTGGGTCGTGTATTATAGTGACACTAAAATACATATATATGGACCGTGGGTCGTGTATTACAGTGACACTAAAATACATATATATGGACCGTGGGTCGTGTATTATAGTGACACTAAAATACATATATATGGACCGTGGGTCGTGTATGAACCGTGGGTCGTGTATTATAGTGACACTAAAATACATATATATGGACCGTGGGTCGTGTATTATAGTGACATTATAGTGACACTAAAATACATATATATGGACCGTGGGTCGTGTATTATAGTGACACTAAAATACATATATATGGACCGTGGGTCGTGTATTATAGTGACACTAAAATACATATATATGGACCGTGGGTCGTGTATTATAGTGACACTAAAATACATATATATGGACTGTGGGTAGAAAATTTGTGTCCCTGTGCTGGAATTTAATTAAATCACAACGATTCCAACACTCACCAACACCACTAATTAATCTTGTTTATACAGTATTTACTTCAATAACATAAATATGACTAGCATACAACACTTCAAAGAATAGATCATGTCTGTTGTGGTTTTTGTGTACCTTTTTCTGTTTATTTGTCACAAGGGTTTACTGAACAGGTGTCCGGAGAACTACTGGACCTTATGTTAAGGTTTTGAAGGGTCAACAGGACACAAGTCCATGTTTGTTTAGCTGTATTGTTAATTAGCTTTTCACTGACTCGTTGACAGTCTTCCGATGACTGATATTTATTTAAATTAAATGTCTGCGAGATATATGGTATGTTTATAAAATAGCTAATCTATAACTTGTATGTATCTATGTGCCTAAGATAAAAATGAATCATCGATTTTATACATTTGATAAATGAAAACGAGCGTCATCATTTTAGCTCTGTATTTATGGGTATCGAAATGTGCTACACACTTGTGTGTCTAGCATACTTCTAAGATATTTTGAAAACTTTCAGCCAAGTTACAAAATAAAATAACACTATTTCACAATGTTCGACATTGATGTGTGATTGACAAAATGGTTTGCCTCAAGTTACCAAGGAAACGTGAATATAAAAGTACAGCTACTACAAAGTATATTAAGCAAAGAGTAAAGCCTATCGGCATATATATATTGGCCATGTGCAACCCTCTTGTCTATAAAAACTGACTGTGCCTGATTTTGACAAATTTCCGTTTAGGATTAGATTTACGTGTTACATATAAGCCAGACTAGGCAGTTTTTACTGAGAAAATAGCTCTTCTTAAATAAGTACCAAATAGACACGTGTGTGATTTTCATACAAAGCTGATACGACCAACATGGAGAACAAGATACAGAGGCTGGGAATGTAGTGATGTGACGTCATCAGGAACGACTCTTTAGTAGTGGAAGATCAATCGATGTTAACTAAACAATCACATAACAATAAATGGTTTATCTTTATGATAATGTAGAGATAAGAAAACAGCCACTGGACATAACTTTACAAAAACTGAGTAAGCTTCTTACCGTTGTTGTTGTGTAGATCCAAAGTGTCATGGTAAATCTTCTCCAAGTTTTGTTGTTAAAGTCCAGAGAGGGGCTGGACGGAGAACTTAAGGTCCGGTATCATGGTGTAAACTTTACACGGGAGGTTGTCGAGAGTGGAGCCGTATTTTGTAACCTTACTCTGATCCCTGCCTGTCTGCCGCCAGGCCTGTGCCCAGTGCATGCTGTGTCTCTAAGGTGATTATCTCCCCGTGCGCACGCATGTGTGTATGTGTTAGGGTACAGTGGAATGCACACGTGTGGATGACTCGGATATCACATGGTTGCTATTTATTAAGTTAACTGGTTTTTATTACATCTTTAGTAAAGGATGGTTTAACTGCCAAATTCTTGTGTCCTCCGCATAACAGCCACTCACACGTGTGTGCGTGTGTATGAGGTACACTGGAATGCACACGTGAGAACGACTGGGATATCACAAGATTGCCTTTTATTAAGATAAACTGTTTTTATTACATGTTAAGAAAAGGATGGTTTAATTGCTCAAATTCTTATATCCTCCGTATAACAGCCCGTGGTAACAGCCTTGTGCGCATCAATGTAGTCTGGTCTGATATTGTATCGGTGTGAATAACATGTGTCTAGTTCCGTTTGATAAAACTGTAATATTTGAGTGTTTTGAACTTTGATAGATAAGTAGGGTACAGTCAAAAAGAACATTTCTAGATAAAACTTTTATATCGTAATAAAGTATGTCGGTTGGTCAGACTGGAGCTTCGAAATAATCATCACAAGGATGTTAATTCCTATAGTTAGGAGGTTTGGTACCTTAAACCAGGGGCTCGAACTCCAGAACGAATTAAAATGGAATTTCTTCGTCAATTGTGTTCTTTGTGAAAACATCCAATCGGGATCCAATATCCGGGACGTCAGGTAAAATACATCTAGGTAACGGGGGACAGGTACACTTGTGTAACAGGAACAAGCCAAGGACAACCACGTGCGGGGACAGGTACATATGTGTAACAGGAACAACCCGAGGACAACCACGTGCGGGGAAAGGTAAACATGTGTAACAGGAACAAGCGGAGGACAAGCACGTGCGGGGACAGATACGCGTGTGTAAAAGGAACAAGCCAAGAACAACCACGTGCGGGGACAGGTACACATGTGTAACAGGACCAAGCGGAGGACAAGCACGTGCGGGGACAGGTACATGTGTGTAACAGGAACAAGCAGAGGACAACCACGTGCGGGGACAGGTACACGTGTGTAACAGGAACAAGCGGAGGACAACCACGTGCGGGGACAGGTACATGTGTGTAACAGGAACAAGCAGAGGACAACCACGTGCGGGGACAGGTACACGTCTGTAACAGGAACAAGCCAAGAACAACCACGTACGGGGACAGCTACACATGTGTAACAGAAACAAGCGAAACACAACTACATGCAGGGTGAGGTACACGTGTGTAGCAGGAACAAGCGGTGCAAACACATGCGGGTACAGGAACAAGCGTAAAGGTGGAGAACAGGTACGAGCAGGACAAGTAGAGATGGAAGGCAGGTGAAGGTGGAGAACAGGTACGAACAGGACAAGTAGAGATGGAAGGCTGGTAAAGGTGGGGAACAGGTACGAACAGGAAAAGAAGAAGTGGAAGGCAGGTAAAGGTGGAGAACAGGTACGAGCAGGACAAGTCGAGGTGGAAGACAGGTAAAGGTGGAGAACAGGTACGAGCAGGACAAGTAGAGGTGGAAGACAGGTAAAGGTGGAGAACAGGTACGAACAGGACAAGTCGAGGTGGAAGACAGGTAAAGGTGGAGAACAGGTACGAAGAGGACAAGTAGAGGTGGAAGACAGGTAAAGGTGGAGAACAGGTACGAAGAGGACAAGTCGAGGTGGAAGACAGGTAAAGGTGGAGAATAGGTACGAAGAGGACAAGTCGAGGTGGAAGACAGATAAAGGTGGAGAACAGGTACGAGCAGGACAAGTCGAGGTGGAAGACAGATAAATGTGGAGAATAGGTACGAACAGGACAAGTCGAGGTGGAAGACAGGTAAAGGTGGAGAATAGGTACGAGCAGAACAAGTCGAGGTGGAAGACAGATAAAGGTGTAGAATAGGTACGAACAGGACAAGTCGAGGTGGAAGACAGGTAAAGGTGGAGAATAGGTACGAAGAGGACAAGTCGAGGTGGAAGACAGATAAAGGTGGAGAATAGGTACGAGCAGGACTAGTAGAGGTGGAAGACAGATAAAGGTGGAGAATAGGTACGAGCAGGACTAGTAGAGGTGGAAGACAGATAAAGGTGGAGAATAGGTACGAACAGGACAAGTCGAGATGGAAGACAGGTAAAGGTGGAGAACAGGTACGAGCAGGACAAGTAGAGGTGGAAAGGTTAAAGTATGGCTGTTCGAGATTTGAGGAAAGTTTCAGGTGAAGGACAGACTGGGCAGGGCTTGAGAAGAATTTTAGATGAAAGACAAACTAGGTGTTGTTTGAAAAGAGTTACAGGTGAAGGATAGACTGGGTAGGGATAGAGGAGAATTACTGGTGAGGGACAGGCTAGGTCGGGTTTGAGAAACGTTAGTGGTGAAAGACAGGCCGGGTGGGGTTTGAGAAGAATTTTAAGTGAAGGACAAGATGGGTAGGGATTGATGAGAATTCAGGTGAATGACAGGCTAGATGGGGTTTGAGAAAATTTACAGGTGAAGGACAGGCTAAGTATATGTCCCCATCTTTAAGCAGGTCTATTTACTATGTGCCTGTCTTTTAGCATTTCTCTCTTTATTATGTCCCTGTCTTTAAGCACATCCCTTTTTGCCATGTCCCTGTCTTTTAGGACATCTCACTTTACTATGTCCCTGTCTTTAAGAACATCTCTCTTTACTATATCCATGTCTTTTAGCATGTCTCTCTTTACTATCTCCCTGTCTTTTAGCACATCTCTCTTTACTGTGTCACTTTCTTTTAGCACGTATCTCTTTACTATGTCCCTGTGTTTTAGCACATCTTTCTTTATTATGTCCCTGTCTTTAAGCACATCTCTCTTTACTATGTCCCTGTCTCTTAGCACGTCTCTCTTTACTATGTCCCCGTGTTTTAGCACATCTCTCTTAATTATGTTCCTGTCTTTAAGCACATCTCTCTTTACTATGTCCCTGTCTTTTAGCACGTCTCTCTTTACTATGTCCCTGTGTTTTAGCACATATCTCTTTATTATGTCCCTGTCTTTAAGTACATCTCTCTTTACTATGTCCCTGTCTTTTACCATCTCTCTTTACCGTGTCCTTGTCTTTTAGCACATCTTTCTTTACTATGTTCCTGTCTTTTATCACATCTCTCTTTACTATATTCCTGTCTTTAAGCACATCTCTCTTCACTATGTCCCTGTCTTTTAGCACGTCTTATTTTACTATGTCCCAGTCTTTTAGCATATCTCTCTTTACTATGTCCCTGTCTTTTACCATCTCTCTTTACCATGTCCTTGTCTTTTAGCACATCTTTGTTTACTATGTTCCTGTCTTTCAGCACGTCTCTCTTTACTATGTCCCTGTGTTTTAGCACATCTCTCTTTATTATGTCCCTGTCTTTAAGCAGATCTCTCTTTACTATGTCCCTGTCTTTTAGCATCTCTTTTTACTATGTCCCAGTCTTTTAGCACATCTCTCTTTACTATGTCCCTGTCTTTTACCATCTCTCTTTACCATGTCCTTGTCTTTTAGCAAATCTTTCTTTACTATGTTCCTCTCTTTTAGCACGTCTCTCTTTACTATGTCCCTGTCTTTTACCATCTCTCTTTACTATGTCCCTGTGTTAAAGCACATCTCTCTTTATAATGTCCCTGTCTTTAAGCAGATCTTTCTTTACTATGTCCTTGTCTTTTACCATCTCTCTTTATTATGTCCCTGTCTTTTAGCACATCTCTCTTCACTATGTCCCCGTCTTTTACCATCTCTCTTTACCATGTTCCTGTCTTTTAGCACATCTTTCTTTACTATGTTCCTTTTTTAGCACGTCTCTCTTTACTATGTCTCTCTCACTACTATGTCCATGTGTTTTAGCATGTCTCTCTTTACTATTTCCCTGTCTTTTAGCATGTTTCTGTTTACTATGTCCCTGTGTTTTCGCACATCTCTCTTTACTATGTTCCCGTCTTCAAGCACATCTCTATTTCCTGTGTCCCTGTCTTTTAGGACATCTCTCTTTACTATGTCCCTGTCTTTTACCATCTCTCTATACCATGTCCTTGTCTTTTAGCACATCTCTCTTCATTATGTCCCTGTCTTTAAGCACATCTTTCTTTACTATGTCCCTGTCTTTTAGCATGTTTCTCTTTACTATGTCCCTGTATTTTATCACATCTCTCTTTACTATCTTCATGTCTTTAAGCACATCTCTCTTTACTATGTCCCTGTCTTTTAGCACGTCTTATTTTACTATGTCTCAGTCTTTTAGCATATCTCTCTTTACTATGTCCCTGTCTTTTACCATCTCTCTTTACCATGTCCTTGTCTTTTAGCAAATCTTTCTTTACTATGTTCCTCTCTTTTAGCACGTCTCTCTTTACTATGTTCCCGTCTTCAAGCACATCTCTATTTGCTGTGTCCCTGTCTTTTAGCACGTCTTATTTTACTATGTCTCAGTCTTTTAGCATATCTCTCTTTACTATGTCCCTGTCTTTTACCATCTCTCTTTCCACTGTCCGAGTCTTTTAGCAAATAGTTCTTTACTATGTTCCTCTCTTTTAGCACGTCTCTCTTTACTATGTTCCCGTCTTCAAGCACATCTCTTTTTACTATGTCCCAGTCTTTTAGCACATCTCTCTTTACTACGTCCCTGTCTTTTACCATCTCTCTATACCATGTCCTTGTCTTTTAGCACATCTTTCTTTACTATGTCCCTGTCTTCAAGCACATCTCTATTTGCTGTGTCCCTGTCTTTTAGGACATCTCTCTTTACTATGTCCCTGTCTTTTACCATCTCTCTATACCATGTCCTTGTCTTTTAGCGCATCTTTCTTTACTATGTCCCTGTGTTTTAGCACGTCTCTATTTGCTTAGTCCCTTTCTTTTAGCACGTCTTTTTAGGGTAAACATACTCAGTACGCATAGCCTATTGCGACGGCCTTTCAGACAAAATGTAACGATCCTGGCCTTCTCATTGGATGAAATATCGTAAAGAATTAGAGCCCTCTAGCGGCAATTTTCTGCGTAAATAATGCCGCGATTTTTCAAATCGCTGTTTTAAAAGCATCCAAAATTAGTTTATTTGTTTAATAACAATACGATTACTATATATTTCAAAAAAGAAGCACAGTGTGGTTGAACTATTGATAAATTTTGAACAATATATTTTACGGAATTCTCGACATGACGTAAGCGTACAGAACACTGTACGTGTGAGTTGGCGCCATAATAAGAAGCTATTCTGTGGGCTTGGTTTGAATTTTCAACTAACAGCACTTATAAACAAACAAAACTTACAAACAGAACATCAATTTTGCTTTAATCCTTGTCGTTGTGCAAGATCGTCTTAATATATAACATCACTTTACCTCATTAGACGTCACAAAATTGGACTGTTCGTCCTACGCGCACACCCGCCGATATGACACTTTTTCGGGATTTTCACATCCGCCGCCATGACATTTTTCAAGTTTTTGAAGATAAAAAGTTTGCGCTTCGTAGGCAAGGTACATTCGGTGCTCATGATTTATGAATGATAAATTTTTGATACTGTACTGATCATGATGTTGACTTTGTTATAACTTATATTTTTGTCTTTTAGTTTTATTTGGTGATTTCTCAATGTTTGTTAATGTGTATCAAAGTTCCTTGAAATGAAAATAAGAAAATATTCCTTCAAACAAAGCGCGTATAAAAAAAACCCCAAAATATTCATGTTTATAATTATCAATTAACTAAAACGAAATATTTCCATAACATATTTATTCATTTAGCGTGTCATGGTGACATTATCTAATGCATTGGAGATCAGAAATAGTAATAGCTATAGTGAAAATATTGTAAATTTTGTATGTCTATGGAAGTCTGGTTTAATCTCATAGAACTATGCCTTTATAGACATAATTAATGGAAGAAAAGTCTAACCATGATACTTCAAGGAAGATAGGCATGTAAATACATTTAATGTAATTACTTAAACTTTCATCTATCTTAAATGCTGTGTATATCTTATCTACTTTCCTCAACTACAAATATAATTATAATAAGTAAGGACTATTACTTTGCAATACATTCAAAATAAAGAAGTAGGTATAAAGTCCTTTCGATTTGTCTAAATCCTCATATTGATAGGAAAGTAATTGCAACATCTTGGGTATTTCAAAGGTTTTATTTAGTCAACTTCATCATAGAGCCATTAATCATTTGGCTTGTTGGCGATAAATGTATGGTTGTGTGTATTTTGTTATTTTTTTACCTATTTTGATTTATTCACATTATTGTCGTCAAATTTGAAATAAGAATTAAAGATGATATAAAATCGCTTAAAATTAAGAAAAATAGCCTCTGGTTCTCTTACTTTAGTCATTTTTGCATTCCAAAGTGTAGGAGTATGGGGAAAGTAATATATCTTAGCGGTTATTTGTGAACATTTTTCAATACGTTTAGCCTCTCAGTACTTTCAGTACTTTGATTTTACTCTCTCAGTACTTTCAGTACTTTGATTTTACTCTCTCAGTACTTTCAGTACTTTGATTTTACTATGTCCCTGTCTTTTAGCAGACAAAATTATGACCCACTTAACTAGAATAACAAGGAAACACAGACCACATCTAGAAAATTTTATTGTGTATCGATAAAGATTATAGAATGTTGAAGAGTAAATATATAAAGAATATCACATCTTACTGTTGAGAAGATAACTCACTCATCACATCTTACTGTTGAGAAGATAACTCTCTCATCACATCTTACTGTTGAGAAGATAACTCTCTCATCACATCTTACTGTTGAGAAGATAACTCACTCATCACATCTTACTGTTGAGAAGATAACTCTCTCATCACATCTTACTGTTGAGGAGATAACTCTCTCATCACATCTTACTGTTGAGAAGATAACTCTCTCATCACATCTTACTGTTGAGAAGATAACTCTCTCATCACATCTTACTGTTGAGAAGATAACTCTCTCATCACATCTTACTGTTGAGAAGATAACTCTCTCATCACATCTTACTGTTGAGAAGATAACTCACTCATCACATCTTACTGTTGAGAAGATAACTCACTCATCACATCTTACTGTTGAGAAGATAACTCACTCATCACATCTTACATGTGGAAAGTAAAATATTAATTCTATACACACCAAAATCAGATATTTTTTTAATCTTCTAAATGAACATTACTTAAAATATTCTAAAATCAAATTTGTAAATTTTTCAATATTTCATAATTTCTTTGCTAAAAACATATTGTTTATAATATTAGGCACTATATAAATATTTAATAAAGAAAAAAATGGAAATTTTAAACTAAATATGAAATTTTTCCAGCAATTTGTGAATCATGAACAAAAATACATACATTGTTTGTAACCAGTAGTAATAGGATAAAATGCTCCAACATACAGACTTGGAATGTGTATTAAATAATATGCCATTAACACAAATCAATATCGACAAAATGAGGACTTAAAATAAGATATGTATATCTGAACAAGAGTCCTGTATATGATGACAGATTGTCCAATCATTCTAGAGGTATTTACATAAACTTAGGGCTACAGATTTTCATTATCTGGGTTTTAACATTGATTCATAGATTTTCTATACCTTTTGTTTCTCATTGTCTACTTGAATACCAAATAACATAGAGTAATTTATCTAAATACTTTGTTACCTTGAGAAGCTGACAGTCACCAACTATATTTCAGAAATAGTAAGATGTCATTTGACCATAATCAACATCAGAACAATGGACTGGAGAACAATGGACTGGACCGTATAACTATAATGGACTGGACCATATTACTGTATAACGGACTGAACCGTATTACTGTATAACGGACTGGACCGTATTACTGCATAATGGACTGGACCGTATTGGTGTATAATGGACTGGACCGTATTACTGGACCGTATTACTATATAATGGACTGGACCGTATTACTATATAATGGACTGGACCGTATTGGTGTATAATGGACTGGACCGTATTACTATATAATGGACTGGACCGTATTACTATATAATGGACTGGACCGTATTGGTGTATAATGGACTGGACCATATTACTGTATAATGGACTGGACCGTATAACTATATAATGGACTGGACCTTATTGGTGTATAATGGACTGGACCGTATTGGTATATAATGGACTGGACCGTATTACTGTATAATGAACTGGACTATATAACTATATAATGGACTGGACCGTATTACTGTATAATGGACTGGACCGTATAACTATATAATGGACTGGACCGTATTACTGTATAATGGACTGGACCGTATTACTGTATAATGGACCAGACCGTATTAGTATATAAAAGAGTATTTATTTTTCTTCAAGTTCAAGGTTCAAAAACTTGAGGTTTCAAAGAAAGCAACAATGTAAGGATGTTGCCTACTGACCAGAATCTTTAAAATGAATTTTTTCTGGCCAAATATTACACCAAACCTTGAAGTTTAGATAAATGTATAAAGTTCATGCCATACACGATGGCTCAAACAGGAATTAAGTTTGAATTGTTTGAAAGATAATATCTTCTGAACAGCCCCTTGTCCCAGTCATCACTCTGCATGTATCTGCCTACATGAACTTTGTATAATATTAATGCTTTACATACTATTTACATCCACGGCCATTTAAGGAAGTGGCAGGTTTGGGTGGTGGAGGAAACCCAGAGTCCTCAGACATAAAGCTACCAACCTGCGGCCATAACCTGACAACTGCCCCACATTGGTCTCTCATGATGCAGAGGTGGAGGGTTAATGATAGAGATGGACACCTTGACCACTCGGACAATGACATGAACATGAGATATAGATAATGGTCATTTATTTGAACAGACATGACACTTTTTGAGCTTCACTATTCTATGACTGTTTCACATCACAGTTGCTGTAGTATGGGTCAAACAACAGAGGGAAGGTATTAAAAACAATGTTGTAAACTTGAAGGAGCCAGTAAAAAAATAAAAATATTTCATGATTTGATATCTCATTTAATGATGATATCTGTGAGAGCTATATGGTACACAACATATATCACATAAAATCACACGACACAAAAGGATTTCCCTGTGGAGATACAGTGTCAAAAAACACAACGCTTGAACACAGCTTTTTAACCTACACTACTGTTAGATAATTTGTGAAAAAGCCATTGTTTAGATGTCATTGGAGGAAGAGGACATGGCCATGATTAAACACAATGCCTGTTTTATCACATAATACGTTCAAGTCATTATTATCCTAGGATAAATGTAAATAAATATTTTCATGACAACGTTAATAGAAGTGGAACTATGATTGTCTTAATAGTCACAGGTGTAATGTCCAAATCCCAATTTGCTGCCTCGCACAGGACCAACAATTTGTTACTACTGTGCAGCAGTAAGGCACTAGTCATTATTATAATGAAAATTTCTCTAAAAGTTAAAAACATTTTGATAAAATACTCCAAAAGTACATAGAAATAACTAAGTGGTTAAAAGGAATGTTGGTGTATTGTCATAAGATTCAAATCAATAAATGCATATGTCTAAATTCCTCCTGATGATAAAAAGTTCCATTTCATACACTACAAAACTTAAAAATAAACTCAAAATGAGGCTGAGGTGAAGTCTACGAACACCGTATACCATTAAAGTCATAATCTCAAGCTAAAAATACTTGCAGACTATCACATAAAAAAATATTGCCATGGTGATCAAAAGTTTGCTATAAATAACTACATCCAAAAAATCCAAAAATTTCATCACCTGAAGACAAATTTCTAAATATTTCACATGATTACCTAGAAAAAGTTTTTAAGTGCTACTTCATATTCTGCTATTATAGCAGGATAGAAACATTCGAAGTACAAATTATTTCAAGAAGCAGGAAAATCATTGTTACAAGCTGAAAAATCTATTAAACAGAACAGAGTCCCAGCAGCCTAATCAGTCAACTGACACAACTCGCAAACAGAAACTATTTGAATGAATGTGTAGTACACGGAACAGAAAATATAAAATGCTTCATGTACAGTAATAAAAGTGTTTTATCTTAAGACCTTTCCATCCAGGAAGAGTATTTAATTCTGTCCTATTGCATAAAGGATAACACAGAAAAAGAAGAAAACAGAAAAAACCCGGTCATTAAAAAACCCCAGAAAAGAGTGCAAGATAATTAAATCAAGAGAGATAACTCTAATAATCTGATAACAAAACCAGACTAGTTTTACCATCGCGGGGAAAGTTTAATATCACTGATCAGTTACTAAGTCCAGTAATTTTAAAGGTCCACGCCCAATCACATGGCATCTTATTGAATGGTATGGGTGGTATAGTGATGGTTATACCTCCAGCTGTGCCACGAGTGTAGGTCAGGGTACCAGAGTATCCAAGTAGGGTCACCCTCGTGGCAGATGTTGTCATCGGAGCCCCAAGCTTCAGGACACCAGAATCTGGCCATTGGAGTGACACGGCATACACTGCCGTAACATTTGGGAACTTCTTCATGGTGTACCTTGGGGAGAAACTCTGAAGTAATTATAAGCTCTACACACAAAATATATTAGAGATAGATTTACAGTGAATATGTTATCTATTCAATAACAGGAGAACTAAGGTACAGACACCAATTTTGCTGGGTTATTGTGAATGTCTTTTGATGACAGTATTTTTGGTTTTGTATTTTTTTACCTACCATACATCTGGTGTGACCGTGTCGTTCTGGTGTGACCAGGGTCTAGTACCATATATTCCTTCCCCGTTCACATTCAGCCATGATCCCATCTGTCGCAAGCGTTCTTCAAAAATTGGGGCAATCTTTCCGTCTCGGGTTGGGCCGACATTCATCAACATGTTTCCTCCACAGCTGAAACAGTATTCATGCCATTTATCCTAATGATGATAAAAAGACAGAAATCCATGTAATCAACTACAAAACAGGTAGTTGTACATGATCTGGTGTAGGGGCCATGAACGGTAACACCATTCAAATCAATGTGTTGTGTTTAACCTCACTGAAACTACCAATACATACAGACGTATTACTAAGCAGTTGTGTGTTTCTATAATCACAACATAAACCAATCCACATTACTGCAGATTTCTGGCCCCAGTACACATCTCTGTCGTTGTTCTCAGTAACAATCTCATAAACTAATGCTTACTTTCATGATACTGTACAGCTGGTTATTTCATTATTACAAAAATTTAATCTGTGATCTCTTAAACCCAGATTGTGAAATTTTAATTTGTTAAAATCTGATTGTTTTAAAAGAAATCTGCGTACATATTGACGCTGGAAATTCACTAGCTATACGATATCGTACTACTATGGTAATTTACCTCACAGTTCCTACAAAAGTCTTGAGAAGTTCCTCAATGGTCAGATAATCAGAAAGTCTTGCATTTCTACGGTAGCCCCAGGAGTACTTGTCGATGGTCATGGCATTTTCCCACTTGTGTTTTTGTAGGATCCCTACCAAACAAAAACACAGGTATATTATAGTGTTACAGGTATTGATATTAAATATCCTGCAATTCAAATCGCTATCAGATCATGTAAATGTGATGGGTTCAAAGTTCACTTTACTACTTGAACACAAAATTGTGCCAAACATACTACTAAATTACATGCACTTTTTCACATAGATACATTACCTGGACTATACCTATCACCACAGGTTCACATAGATACATTACCTGGACTGTACCTATCACCACAGGTTCACATAGATACATTACCTGGATTGTACCTATCACCACAGATTCACATAGATACATTACCTGGATTGTACCTATCACCACAGATTCACATAGATACATTACCTGGATTGTACCTATCGCCACAGGTTCACATAGATACATTGATTGTACCTATCACCACAGGTTCACATAGATACATTACCTGGATTGTACCTATCACCACAGGTTCACATAGATACATTACCTGGATTGTACCTATCACCACAAGTTCACATAGATACATTGATTGTACCTATCACCACAGGTTCACATAGATACATTACCTGGACTGTACCTATCACCACAGGTTCACATAGATACATTGATTGTACCTATCACCACAGGTTCACATAGATACATTACCTGGATTGTACCTATCACCACAGGTTCACATAGATACATTACCTGGATTGCACCTATCACCACAGGTTCACATAGATACATTGATTGTACCTATCACCACAGGTTCACATAGATACATTACCTGGATTGTACCTATCACCACAGGTTCACATAGATACATTACCTGGATTGTACCTATCACCACAGATTCACATAGATACATTACCTGGATTGTACCTATCACCACAGGTTCACATAGATACATTGATTGTACCTATCACCACAGATTCACATAGATACATTACCTGGATTGTACCTATCGCCACAGATTCACATAGATACATTGATTGTACCTATCACCACAGGTTCATATAGATACATTACCTGGATTGTACCTATCCCCACAGGTTCACATAGATACATTACCTGGATTGTACCTATCCCAACAGATTCACATAGATACATTACCTGGATTGTACCTATCCCCACAGGTTCACATAGACACATTACCTGGATTGTACCTATCACCACAGGTTCATATAGATACATTACCTGGAATGTACCTATCACCACAGGTTCACATAGATACATTGATTGTACCTATCCCCACAGGTTCACATAGATACATTACCTGGATTGTACCTATCACCACAGGTTCATATAGATACATTACCTGGATTGTACCTATCCCTACAGGTTCACATAGATACATTACCTGGATTGTACCTATCGCCACAGGTTCACATAGATACATTGATTGTACCTATCACCACAGGTTCACATAGATACATTACCTGGATTGTACCTATCACCACAGGTTCACATAGATACATTACCTGGATTGTACCTATCACCACAGGTTCACATAGATACATTACCTGGATTGTACCTATCACCACAGGTTCACATAGATACATTACCTGGATTGTACCTATCGCCACAGGTTCACATAGATACATTGATTGTACCTATCACCACAGGTTCACATAGATACATTACCTGGATTGTACCTATCGCCACAGGTTCACATAGATACATTACCTGGATTGTACCTATCACCACAGGTTCACATAGATACATTGATTGTACCTATCACCACAGGTTCACATAGATACATTACCTGGACTGTACCTATCCCTACAGGTTCACATAGATACATTACCTGGACTGTACCTATCACCACAGGTTCATATAGATACATTACCTGGATTGTACCTATCCCTACAGGTTCACATAGATACATTGATTGTACCTATCACCACAGGTTCACATAGATACATTACCTGGATTGTACCTATCACCACATGTTCACATAGATACATTACCTGGATTGTACCTATTGCCACAGGTTCACATAGATACATTACCTGGATTGTACCTATCCCCACAGGTTCACATAGATACATTACCTGGACTGTACCTATCACCACAGGTTCACATAGATACATTACCTGGATTGTACCTATCCCCACAGGTTCACATAGATACATTGATTGTACCTATCACCACAGGTTCACATAGATACATTACCTGGATTGTACCTATCGCCACAGGTTCACATAGATACATTACCTGGATTGTACCTATCCCCACAGGTTCACATAGATACATTACCTGGACTGTACCTATCACCACAGGTTCACATAGATACATTACCTGGACTATACCTATCACCACAGGTTCACATAGATACATTACCTGGACTGTACCTATCCCTACAGGTTCACATAGATACATTACCTGGACTGTACCTATCACCACAGGTTCACATAGATACATTACCTGGATTGTACCTATCACCACAGGTTCACATAGATACATTGATTGTACCTATCACCACAGGTTCACATAGATACATTACCTGGATTGTACCTATCACCACAGGTATAAAATCCACCATGATGACACGATATGTTACTTCCCCATCTGTCATTCACAACCACAGTATCTTTCACTGGACTGTAACATAAACAGGTCACATCATCAACAGTATGATAAATATCTATGCGTTGTTTCAGTTTGGTAGCTCTGTTTCTGTATGATGGTACATGTATTAAGTAAACAAATGCTGCACTCTTTAGAGGCTTTCTCGTATTATAAACCATACAACACATCAACACTGGTTACAAACATTTACCCGCTGTTGTTGAAACTTCCAATAATATTCAATACACTACAGCAAAGATAACACTTTAAATATGTTAAAAAAATAAACTCAGAAAATTTCTTTTTAAAACAGAATTATGAATAAACAGAATTATGAATTTGATATCTATCTAAATCGAAGATTATCAGAAAAAAGACTGAGAATTCCACATTTACAAAAAGACAAACTGTAGAGAAAAGTAATGGCTCAACTCATATCCTTGATCTAAAAATGTCCAGCTGTGTAGATCTGTTATATCTAATATCAGAAAAACACTACTGAGTTATCTCCCCTCCCCATATGTTAACAAGCAGCAGTTTTTGGTGATGCATCAGCAAACATGTGATTTCAGAAATAAGTCAAAGCATTCCAAAACAGTTGATAGACTATTAGAATCCTAGATAAAACACTTCAGGTCCCGTCAATATCACAAAAAACATAGACAGCAGCCATGTTGTTTTCTACCTCTCATTGTAGAGCCAGCTAAGGAAATTAGTAGACTGCCAGTAAGAGTCTGGGCCAGCATCTCCATCTGACCATACCACCTCAGGTTTGTAGGTCTCAACGATCTCAAACAGTTCTGGAAGGGTCTTACTCTGCAAAGTTGATAAGCAATATGCTGAATTTTTTTCATATTGCTATAAAACACTACATACCACTGAAACATGCTTACATGTGACATGATAATGCTTAAACATGTAAATATGTGTTAACATACTAATGAACCAGGATTACATGTTATCTCATTAGTGAACCAGTCTTACATTATCATATCACTTACAAACATGTTCACAGTACATATTATTATATCACTAACACGCATGTTTACAGTACATATTATCATATCACTAACAAGCATGTTTACAGTACATATTATCATATCACTGTTATATACTTATATGGGTTATCAACTGGCTGGGAACATGTTAATATGTGTTATCATTTGCTGTAAGGAACAAAATGTGTTGTAAAATAGGAATATGATAACATGTTATCACAACACACAAGATCATAATAACATGTTATCACAACACACAAGGTCATAATAACATGTTATCACATCACACAAGATTATAATAACATGTTATCACAACACACAAGATCATAATGACATGTTATCACAACACACAAGATCATAATAACATGTTATCACATCACACAAGATCATAATAACATGTTATCACATCACACAAGATTATAATAACATGTTATCACATCACACAAGATTATAATAACATGTTATCACAACACACAAGATCATAATGACATGTTATCACAACACACAAGATCATAATAACATGTTATCACATCACACAAGATCATAATAACATGTTATCACATCACACAAGATTATAATAACATGTTATCACATCACACAAGATCATAATAACATGTTATCACAACACACAAGATCATAATAATATGTTATCACATCACAAGATCATAATGACATGTTATCACATCACAAGGTCATAATGACATGTTATCACAACACACAAGATCATAATAACAGGTTATCACATCACAAGGTCATAATGACATGTTATCACAACACACAAGATCATAATAACAGGTTATCACATCACACAAGATTATAATGACATGTTATCACAACACACAAGATCATAATAACAGGTTATCACATCACACAAGATTATAATGACATGTTATCACAACACACAAGATCATAATAACATGTTATCACATCACACAAGATCATAATAACATGTTATCACAACACACAAGATCATAATAACAGGTTATCACATCACACAAGATTATAATGACATGTTATCACATCACAAGATCATAATGACATGTTATCACATCACAAGGTCATGATGACATGTTATCACATCACAAGATCATAATGACATGTTATCACATCACAAGGTCATAATGACATGTTATCACATCACAAGATCATAATGACATGTTATCACATCACAAGGTCATGATGACATGTTATCACATCACAAGATCATAATGACATGTTATCAAATCACAAGGTCATAATGATATGTTATCATACCACACAAGATCATAATAACATGTTATCACATCACAAGATCATAATGACATGTTATCACATCACAAGATCATAATAACATGTTATCACATCACAAGGTCATAATGACATGTTATCACATCACAAGATCATAATGATGTGTTATCACATCACAAGATCATAATGACATGTTATCACATCACAAGATTAAAATAACATGTTATCACATCACAAGATTATAATGACATGTTATCACATCACAAGGTAATAATGACATGTTATCACATCACAAGGTCATAATGACATGTTATCACATCGCAAGGTCATAATGACATGTTATCACATCACAAGGTCATAATGACATGTTATCACATCACAAGATCATAATAACATGTTATCACATCACAAGATCATAATGACATGTTATCACATCACAAGATTATAATGACATGTTATCACATCACAAGGTCATAATGACATGTTATCAAATCAAAAGGTCATAATGATATGTTATCATATCACACAAGATCATAATAACATGTTATCACATCACAATATCATAATGACATGTTATCACATCACAAGGTCATAATGACATGTTATCACATCACAAGGTCATAATGACGTGTTATCACATCACAAGGTCATAATGACGTGTTATCACATCACAAGGTCATAATGACATGTTATCACATCACAAGGTCATAATGACATGTTATCACATCACAAGATCATAATGACATGTTACCACACCAATCAATGTGTTATCACACCAATCAATGTGTTACCACACCAATCAATGTGTTATCACACCATTACCACACCAATCAATGTGTTACCGCACCAATCAATGTGTTACCACACCATTACCACACCAATCAATGTGTTATCACACCATTACCACACCAATCAATGTGTAACCACACCAATCAATGTGTTATCACACCAATGTGTTATAACACCAATCAATGTGTTATCACACCATGACCACACCAATCAATGTGTTACCACACCAAACAATGTGTTAGAACACCAATCAATGTGTTATCACACCAATCAATGTGTTATCACACCAATCAATGTGTTACCACACCAATCAATGTGTTATCACACCAATCAATGTGTTACCACACCAATCAATGTGTTACCACACCAATCAATGTGTTATCACAGTGTTATCACACCAATCAATGTGTAACCACACCATTACCACACCAATCAATGTGTTATCACACCAATCCATGTGTTATCACACCAATCAATGTGTTATCACAGCATTAAGAAGATGATGTAGTGTTGTTATAAATGCACTGTTGTCTTGATAGTTTATTTTCACACTAGGTTGTCATCTTCTGAACACGATGAAAATCCTATACACACTTGGGTCTGCCTTTTTTCTGTTAGTTTAGTAACAATACTTTCCTGTCCTCATTTTGCCTTCTTAATGGGAAAATTTCCATCTTACGTAAATAAGGAAAGAATCTTATATACAGGTCAAGGTCAGTGTGAAAGGAAGTGTGTTAATCATGTTGAACTCAGCTTAGCCATGTACAGGAAGAGTCCTTGGTCATTTACTCTGCTGCCAGCCAAAAGGTCAATTCTTTTGAACCCCATTAGGGGTCAACTTCCTCTTTACATCACCTCAGATCATTTCTTCTTTTCACAGACTCATATCATTTTCAGGAGTTATCCAGCTGATTCCATAAGCTCATTTCTAGAAGTTTTACAAGTCCCAATATGAAGAACAAAGAGTTCTCAAAATTTGCAGGTACAGGACATAAATATCTGAGTGCTGAAAATCATTGCTCCTTCCTCTCCAAACAGGCTCTGAACATTTCTCTATTAACCAGCCAAGGGTAAATTCCTTCTTAACCAGCCTTGGGTAAATACCTTCTTAACCAGCCTTGGGTAAATTCCTTCTTAACCAGCCTTGGGTAAATTCCTTCTTAACCAGCCTTGGGTAAATACCTTCTTAACCAGCCTTGGGTAAATTCCTTCTTAACCAGCCTTGGGTAAATACCTTCTTAACCAGCCTTGGGTAAATTCCTTCTTAACCAGCCTTGGGTAAATACCTTCTTAACCAGCCTTGGGTAAATTCCTTCTTAACCAACCTTGAGTAAATTCCATCTTAACCAGTTTTGGGTAAATTCCTTCTTAACCAGCCAAGGGTAAATTCCTTCTTAACCAGCCAAGGGTAAATTCCTTCTTTAGACAGCCAAGGGTAAATTCCTTCTTAACCAGCCTTGGGTAAATTCCTTCTTTAGACAGCCTTGGGTAAATTCCTCCTTAAGACAGCTTTGGGTAAAGTCCTCCTTTGGATATCCTTTGTAGATTGGAATCCATACTTCTGCTGTAGCCTTTCCTTATTTCTATACTTCTCTCATCCAGTCTCTTTTAACAACCAATATTTTCATCTTTCCCAATATTGACTTTCTTTGTAAAATGAAATGTATTGTGTAAACTATTATGATACCTGTTTAGTCCTCTACGAATTCAATCCAACTTATTCTAGTTACAGACTGTAGAGAGTGAATGGTTTTACGTCAAGAAAATAAAGATCAGATCAACACAGCAGGACTTGTTAGAACCATATCATTTTCCAATCCACTAAACATAAATTCTTATTTAGAAACTACACCTATCATCAATGAATTGAACCATTACTCCTCCAAAGACATTGGAACTCTCCTGTGTCCATGTTCCTCACACAACTCTACCTTTCATTGTATAGCCAAGAGAGGTATTGTGTAGAGCTCCAGTAAGTGTCTGGTGCCTCCCAGTCCCCGTCCGACCAAACCACCTCCGGTTTATATTTCTCCACAATCTCAAACAACTCGGGCAGGTTCTTGTTCTGACAGTGCAATAACATTAGACTTGTGAGAAATACATTTAAAAGACCCAGAAGAAATTTATCTATTTTAAAAAGCATGCATAAAGAACACCATGTTTGTGAATGATTTTTTCTTTAAAAATCAGGCTTTCAGCTGAATGACAGGAGAAGCAACTAAGGTCCAACTGCAAAGTATGATAATTGTGTAAACAATGGGACATTTATGTACAGTACTGGTTATCAAGAAACTTCCTCAACCACGTCATTCTAAAGCTTCTCATTAAACCATCAATATCAACAAGAAACTTATTGTAGTTAAAGACAAATCTAATCAAAACATCATGGTTACAGGTGACATGTTTTGGTGTCTATAAATATGATCATAACAAACACTTTTGTTGTGTTTAGATAATGCTAGAGTGATGTAAAGAAAGATGAACACTTGGTTCACATTTGCAGGGAGATGGAGAGAACATGGAGATGAACACTTGGTTCACATTTACAGGGAGATGGAGAGAACATGAAGATGAAACACTTGGTTCACATTTGCAGGGAGATGGAGAGAACATCAAGATGAAACACTTGGTTCACATTTGCAGGGAGATGGAGAGAACATCAAGATGAAACACTTGGTTCACATTTGCAGGGAGATGGAGAGAACATCAAGATGAAACACTTGGTTCACATTTGCAGGGAGATGGAGAGAACATCAAGATGAAACACTTGGTTCACATTTGCAGGGAGATGGAGAGAACTTGGAGATGAACACTTGGTTCACATTTACAGGGAGATGGAGAGAACATCAAGATGAAACACTTGGTTCACATTTACAGGGAGATGGAGAGAACATCAAGATGAAACACTTGGTTCACATTTGCAGGGAGATGGAGAGAACATCAAGATGAAACACTTGGTTCACATTTGCAGGGAGATGGAGAGAAGATCGAGATGAAACACTTGGTTCACATTTGCAGGGAGATGGAGAGAAGATCGAGATGAAACACTTGGTTCACATTTACAGGGAGATGGAGAGAACATCGAGATGAACACTTGGTTCACATTTACAGGGAGATGGAGAGAACATCAAGATGAACACTTGGTTCACATTTACAGTGAGATGGAGAGAACATCAAGATGAACACTTGGTTCACATTTACAGCGAGATGGAGAGAACATGAAGATGAAACACTTGGTTCACATTTACAGGGAGATGGAGAGAACAAGAAGATGAAACACTTGGTTCACATTTGCAGGGAGATGGAGAGAACATGAAGATGAAACACTTGGTTCACATTTGCAGGGAGATGGAGAGAACTTGGAGATGAACACTTGGTTCACATTTACAGGGAGATGGAGAGAAGATCGAGATGAAACACTTGGTTCACATTTGCAGGGAGATGGAGAGAAGATCGAGATGAAACACTTGGTTCACATTTACAGGGAGATGGAGAGAACATCGAGATGAATATATCAAAATTACATGTTTGTTTTTTTTCCCCTTTTTTATTGATTCTTATACGAACTTATACAATTGCTTGAGTTGTATAAGTGTACTCAACACTTCAAACTTCCAAAGGACGACGAACCCAAACAAAGAACTGTAACTGTCTGATATAATACTAAGCAAAACACTATCATATTCAATTTACTCTGTTTGATGGTTTTGTTTCTCTTAAATCTAAATTTGAAAGGGAAGCAAATAAACACATTCAATTAATAATAAAAAGAAGCATTCCAATGGACATGTGTTTGGCTTTTGATTGTGTCAAAACAGAATAAACAATGAATAAAACTGAACCAATGTTTCTTTAACATTATTATTATAGACATAGAACTCTTGTTTTCTCTTAGTGAAAATGAAAATAAAACTCATACTTCTGGTTTTGAAACTGATCCTCAATGTTAATATCTCCTAATTGATTGTCAGGAATTGGTTGCCTTTTGGATCAGACATTAGGTATAATCAATCATGGAGACAAAACTAGTTAAAACTAGGCTGACAGATTTCATAACAAAATGATCACCGTTGATTGAACTCTGTATTCTATAATGTCTGTTATGGTTGTTGATGAAGCCAGCTTACGGACTTCGTTCACTGGGTAGAGAAACTACTTCATCCACCATTCTCCTCTCTTTGATAATGAGCACCGCTAAACACTTGTACTACATCACAATGATCTGATCTTGGTGTCAGGTTTACAAAAAGAATCATTCCTGTATACTGAAGTCCAAGTGTATCTCTGTACTTTTTTTAGTGTTTCTATGTTTAAGTCTGTTACCTGCACTGATAAGTGTGAATATTGCCAGTCTAAGATTATAGCAAATATCCTGTATGATCAAGTCTCATCAACATTGTTCACCTGCATTTGTGTTTAAATTGACATTAAAATTTGAATCCTGGGTGATTATTTGTACAGTAAAACCTTAGTATTTACACATACAAGCAAGTCTGAGATTGTACCTAGACATGAAAACCTGAAGTGTTAAGTGTACTACAAAGTGAGAGAGAGTTTGGTAAGGTATTGTATTATCTAGCTGTTACCCATGCCAGTTAATAAGTAAAATCAAATACATTGTTCTCTCTTCGAAATAATAAACAAATAATATTTCCTTGTTCTGCAACAAGTCCATCCCTTTCCTTGAAGTAAGTAATGTGTTGGCCACCTGAGCTTACTGTATGTTCACTACAGTACATACATTTGTTAAATGATTCACAATGAACAATTTCTTATCATCAGACATCCTTTAAATTGTTGGCATTATTCAATACTACAAGATTTTTTACTTAACCACATATCTTACATAAGATTTACCAGTGGTTCAGAGTATTTTTCTTTTCTTTCCCTTCTTTTTTTCATTCCCCCTCCGATTGTTGTCCATCATTTAAATCTAGTCCATAAACCTGTATCATTGCAAGTCAAGTAAGACTACACTTACCTACATATATACATGCTTACCTGGACAAATCGGTTGGTTTTGAAATTGTTAGCCTTGTCTTGGAGGTAAAGAGGGTTGAACCACTCAAACATGGAGTGGTAGAGGCCAAACTTGATGTCAGTTTTGTCACGGATGGCATTGGCCAGCTCACCTAAGAACAAACATTTTACTTACAAAGTGAACAATGATTTGTCTATATATACTTTTACAAACCTTAATTATTAGCTTCATATCTGAGAAAAACTACTTATATCTGGAAACTTATTTCAAACATAGAGTTTATCTAAAGAGTTCACCATCTCTGTAAATGTATTTAGCCAAACGTTGGCTGCATGAGACTTTTGATATTTATTCTGTGAAATCTTACCAACAAGGTCCCGGTTTGGTCCAGTGGCATTTGAGTTCCAGTTGAAGGAGTACTTAGATGGCCAGTTAGTGAATCCCTCGTGGTGTTTACTGGTCAGGACAACATACCTAAAACAATCAAATGATACATGTTGCACACCAGGTATGTATATCTTATAAACTTAGACAATGTATACATTACACAGAATTAGACAGGTGATGGAAATGCAATGGACTGACAACCTAAAACCATCCACCAAAGATGGCTGATACAATAAACCAATGTCACAGATGAATTCTACCACTTAATACTAACTTGCTTTTTTCTATATTTACTCTAAAGAATGCACATTACAAAATCATGCAAGGGCAAAGAGTGGAAAACTTGTAAAGGCAAAAAGGATTACCTGCATGTTCTATACTAAACACACACACACTTTTGAATACTTCATACAATATACAATATACACAGGTGGTCAATATGGGGGCGTGAATTCACATTCAAATGACAGGTCATTATATAAATAGGCATATACTACATTGCTTCCTGAATTTGGTAATAAATACTGGGATAAGCGAAAATATTACACAAATGTATCCTACATCCATCTAACATATATATATAATGTATATACAGGAATCACTTCCTTAAACAGGTACAGGTAGGCTGGACCGATATCTCTGCCAACGGATCAACTATAGAAGATTATTTGCTTTCGTGTAATTGGGGCTGCAACGTTATATACCTGGCACCAGATGCTTTAAATATTTCTGCCCATTCGTTTGGTTGAAAGAACTCGGTGGTAAACATGGAGGCAAAGTCAGCGTAAGTAAAACCGGGCCTGTAATTCTTCTGCATAAAATCGACCACGCCAGGAAGACTCATGCCTTTCCAATTCCACCAAAACCATTCTGACGAAAAGCTTGGCACCGAGAAGACGCCCCAGTGGATAAAGATTCCTAACTTCACGTCATCGTACCAGCCTGGAATGGGCCTAGTGTCGAGCGATTCCCATGTTGGCTCGTACTTCGTACAAACTGATAATGAAAATAACGCTAACACAACAAGAACTGGCAATCGACTGTCCGCCATATTGTTTGTGTTCAGTGAGGTCACATGATTAAAGTCATATGATCTAATTCATGAAAAAGGTTCACGCACTTAACATTTCGTGTCGCAATCTGCACATACATATTTTGGTGGTGAGAAAATGGTATATGAAAACAGATACGTCTCTGATGAAAACTAGTGGGATCCTAAACTTTAAGATAAAAATTGCACACCGACATTTGCGTTCGATTGTGTCTGTGCAGCCCATTGAAAAATCACACAAGAACTAATCAGACACTCGAGGCGTGCTATCCAACAGACAACTTTAACACGTTGTAAAACGTAAATCGACTATAGAACACGACAAAGCTAAATAACGCGCGAATCCTTCCAATTCTATTAAATAGTAGTAGTCATAAAAACGAAGGAAATAGACTTACCGAAAAAAAAGGGAAAAGAAGACAAACGTCAGCGCCTTACGTTATTTATTTACACAACACTGAAACAATACAAAGTCTTCAGCGTAATTCAGGACGAGGATTCTAGGTACGTTATGAAATATGGATACCGGCAGACCGGAGATCAACCCAAACCAACAACACGTTTCTGGTAGAAAATGGTTCTGTGCATGTATGAACTTGGACTAGTCTTTGTACACGATGACGGGGATACAACATCGTTTCTACAACACCGTTCTACAACATTGCCTATATAACAGCCGAGTGTTCACCAGTTCTATGATTTACTGCATCAATGATTCATTATCTTTGCAATCATTCGTGTCCCTTGGACATCACAAATTTCTATGAGTGGTTTTAAAATCAAATATAAGAAACGGGATTTAAAATCGACCGGTGGAAGCGATGGGTGATTTTGACGGCGCAACTTTTCCTTTGAAACGCAACATCATAACAAAAGTTGCATTTGGAGAGGGTTTTTACGAGGTTAAACGTCCACACAAGATATCATATATTGTTCATATGAACAATTGCACCAAGAGGGACATCGAGCACAGTATAAAAGAACCGACAGGAAGGAAGGGACAAGAACAAGGTCCTCAAGAATTGCAATGGGACAGCAGATCTACTTTGATCTCTCCAAATGCCTCTCAGCAGAAGGCCCCAAATGAAATACCTAGTCTACAACGAATGTAAAGAGCCAATTTTGACCGTTGTTTTGTGTGTATTGTGTTGATGATGTGAAGACTTCATCACCTATATTTGACGGGTCTCAACAGCTGTAGGGAACTTGGTATATACTATTGAACGGTGAATTCATGGAATGCTGAAAGTCATTGATGTTTCCAAAAGGACGGGCGTAAAGCGTCGGATTCAGTTTCGAATTTTCTCATTAGCAGAAAGATCGGTCACAATCACTTCAAATACCAACCCTGTCATTTCGCTCGAGTCCTTATTACCAACATTTATGTCACCAAAAACCAAATTGTATTCTGAAAAAAAAACCAATGTAGTTTCCTTTCATCGGATTTGAGAAGTTCCAACAGTCCTCTCAAGTATGTCAATTGACATAAAACGGCGACGACGATGATGATGATGATGTCACCAAGCGAACGAAATGTCACTAGTTCAAACCTTAGCATCTGAAAGTATTTGATTATTGTACAACTCAAATCACGTGCCTTCACATGAAAACTGCATTGATCCTCCCTCTAAAAATCAATAAAGATGTAGACAGCACGTTCTTTCCTAAACAATACAAATATAGATTATTTTAACAGGCTAAACAGTATGTCTAACGTTCAGACCAGGGACGTATGGAGTTCACTGGGTGTTAGGGACTACCTTGCACCAGACGCCTTGAATATTTCTGCCCATTCGTCGGGCTGAAAGAACTCGGTGGTAAACATTGAGGCAAAGTCAGCATAGGTAAAATCTGGTCTGTAGTTCTTCTCCATAAACTCCACCACCTCCTTCAGCTTCATACCTTGCCAGTATTCCCAAAACCACTCCGACTTAAAACTCGGCACCGAGAAGACACCCCAGTGAATGAAGATTCCTAACTTCACGTCATCGTACCAGCCGGGAATGGGCCTAGTGTCGAGCGATTCCCATGTTGGCTCATACTTCGTACAAACTGACAATGAAAATAACGATAACAAACACAATATTAACAACCGATATCCCGCCATGTTGTCTATGTGTGCAGTGTTTCATGAAATCACATGATGCAAGTCATATGATCCATTAAAAAAGCCGAGGTTCACACGCTTCACCTGTTGCAAGTCGCAATCCCCATATTGTGTGTGTTAGTATTAAAACACACATTTGTCGGTGTCAAATATCAGTTGTTTTTTGTTCCTTTTCAACAGGAAATCGAATGTTAAAAAAAATCGAGGCCATTTGAGAAATTTGCTGAGCCAGATGTAAGCACGTTTGTCAATATATATGTAGTTATTTAATCTATATTCAGTTGTTAAAATGAATTTACTTGGTCGGGTAATATAAAAGACCCATATTTTCCTAGAAATGTGAAGGTAAAGTTAATATTCTAAATGATTATTTTGTTTCCATCTCTACTATTGACGACACTGACATTAACATACCAGATGCAGAGTGAAGGGCGGACGCTACTTTAACATTTATACCTTTTCAATTAGACGACATTCCTGACATTTTTAAACAATTAAATACTAATAACGCAGGAGGCAGTGATACAATCAGTCACATTATGTTTAAAAAATACCGCGGAATATAATGCTTACCCATTGCCATTTGTATGTAGAGCTTCCTTGGAAACTGGTGTCTTCCTGTCACAATGGAAGTTATATCTATCAATGCTGTTATTTAAAAAGGGAGATAAACATGAATATTGTAACTACAGCCCTACAGCGCTACTTAGTACTCTTGGTAAAATCTTTGAACGTTTAGTTGTGAAATATCTTAATAACTCTTTACTTGATAATTCATTAATCGACCAATATCAATCAGGTTTCCAGCCTGGTCATTCTACTGTCCATCAAATTGTAGAAATATATCACACCTGATGCGAATATATTGAAAAAATGGAGTTGAAATATTTTTTTATATTTCCAAAGGGCTCGATCGTGTGTGGCACAATGGTCTGAATGTAAAATCAGCACATAACGGTATTGATGGAAAACTTCTGGTCTGGTTAAATAATTATATCAGTAATAGAAAGCAACAAGTCTTTGTAGGAAATAGTAAGTCTTCTGTTAAATCTATAAATGCAGGTGTTCCACAAGGCTTGGTATTATGTCCATTACTTTTTATTATATATGTTAATGAGATAACTGATAACCTTGAAAGTCTCTCTAAACTGTTTGCTGACGATACTTCGTTATTATGTCCAGGAACTTCCGTTTTGACCATTGAAACTAAAACTGATAACGATCTATCTAAAAAAATACAATTGGGCAGAAAAGTGGCTCATCAAATTTAGCTTTACTTATTTCAAACACTGAGCACGATCATGTCATGGATATCCAATTTAACAATGTCAGTGTAGACTTTGTTGGTCATTATAAGCATCTAGGAGTAATTTTAGATGAAAATTGTATTCGGGGTAGGCATATAGAAAATATATGTAAGAATGCATCCAAACAGGTAAGTATTCTCTGTAAACTTAAGTACATGTTGAATAGACGAACTTCAATCTAAATCTATAAGGCATACATACATCCATTATTAGAATATTGCTGTCATCAGTGATGACAAACTAGAAAAAACCTTCAGTTAGAATCTGCTAGAATTATCACTGGTTTACCATTTTATACCAGTAGAAATTCACTCTAATCTGAAAGTGGTTTAGAATCGCCATCAGAACGACGCTCTAGAAGAAATCTACAGCTATTCTACAAAATATGTAATAAACTCACACCTTATTATCTATCCTCTTTCTTGCCTCCTTTAGTGTCAGAAAACTCACAATATTACCTCCGCGATGCACAAAACTATTCTTTGTCCAAATTTCCGACTACAACTAACGAATTTATCATTTATTTCTTCTGCTGTCCGACTTTGTAACCAACTTGACATTGAAATTAGATGCTTATTCAGTTTTAAAAAAATCTATTCGAACCCCCCGTACTAGTTCCAACTTTTTATTTAATTGGTATTCGGAAAGCTAATATACAACATGCTCGATTAAGAAATAATTCTAGTACTTTAAACAATGACTTCTTTCGGATCTAATTTACTAGATTACCGTCACTGCCAATGTGGACATCCTCTTGAAGACACTAACCACTACTTCTTCACTTGTAATAATTATGCGAGATCAGAAGGTAATTGTATACCGAGAACTAAATGATGTTATACTACTAGACCTGCAGTTAAGTGTTACTCCTTACTCCAACGATACACTAGTGGCGAGAATTACAAGAAGGACCCGGATGACAGAAGAAAGTGGAATAAGGCACGGGATGTGGTGAACTTTAAAATAGCTCGAAAGTATTGAAAAAAAAACTGATTTACACGAAATAATATAAATTGTTACGTATGACCTCTCTCTCTCTCTCTCTCTCTCTCTCTCTCTCTCTCTCTCTCTCTCTCTCTCTCTCTCTCTCTCTCTGTCTGTCTGTCTCTCTCAGTGTAATTTTGTATTCAAACATGTCGTTTTGTCTTGTCAATATGCATTTTGTTTTGTTTTGTTTTTGGGTTTTTTTTGTGTGTGTGTGGAAAAGGCTTAACATAAGTTGGAAAATTTGTGCCCAATCCCATCGTAATTGTTACAATCAATTGTGTTTGAATCTATATCATTTCAACTGTTTCACCAGTTGGAGTTAGGTTGAAATTATTTATTGTGCTATGCGTCGCCAATAGATGGTGTGATGATCTGATATTTGCACGTGCAGATTCATACCGCGTGTTACCCGTACGTGTCATTCTAGCGATCCAAGTAGTGGCAAACAGACGTAATTTTTGTATTTATTTTTTTTCTAAGCTGTGTGGATTTTTTGTTAATATCCTCTTAAAATAATTATATGTGTAATAATATATATATATGTCGATGAAACGTATTGTCGTTTTTAAAAGATTTGTTCTAATCAATAAATCAGTGGC